TTTTTCATCGGCTAAAATGTAACATTTTCCTATGTGACGCTCTAAAATATCTTACGTAGTGGCTTTGATAATTTTTAATTTTTTATTATTTATTATAATCTTACGTAGTGACTTTAAAAAAACTAATCTTATGTGGCATAATCCTATTGTAGCGTTTTAAAAATACTCGTGGCGATTTTTTATTTATTATAACCCTACTTAGCACTTTAAAAATGCTAATCTTACATGGCATAATCTATTGCAGCGTTTTAAAAATATTAATCCTACGTGGCTCTCTAATAATTTTTTAAAAATTAAAATCCTAGGTGGCGCTCTAAAATCTTGAGAAAAAACTCCCCTTTATATATATACTAGTTTTGTGTCCGGACGATGCCCGGATTGTCCTAAACTCTTTAGTTTAAATACGATCATATAACCCCTTTTGATATTGTAAAATATTTAGACACATGATATCATATTGCTTATATTTATATAATAGTGTACTTTTTGTAGTTTTATTTGTAAATAGATATCTATGTTATTATTAACTTGATATGTTTTTATTGCACTTAAATTATTTTTAATGAACTGAATGTATTTTTACTAAACTAAAATTATTTGTTCTGATTAAAACTTATTTTTACCGATTTTCTATTTTTTTTGTTAAAATATATTATAAATGGATATCATTTTAAAGAACTCTTTAAAACGAACTTTATGATGGAAATAGTACTGAATTATAATATATTTATCAAAAGTTATAATTAATTTTGTATATATGAAATATTAGAAGTATATCGATGATAAAACACTATACAACATTTTTATCTTAAAAAATATATCCAAAATTCGTTTACTTAGCATCCTATGTATCACAATAATACATATTTGTCGCTTATGTAGCTCGACACTTGGCGAAAAACTGGAATGCCAAGTGTCGATATCTCGTGGCTTGGCTGCGAGACCGGCTTTATATATTAGTGACTAATTTTGTGCTCGGGCGATGCCCAGATGGTTGATAAGATTTTAAATAACATTTTACACTTGAATGTTAAATACGGTCAAATAATTCATTCTGATAATGTAGGATATATAGACATACGATATCAGATGGTTTATATTTATATAATAATACTTTTTGTATTTTTGTTTGTAAATAGATATCTATGTTATTATTGACTTTAAATTATTTTTATTGAGCTTAAATTATTTTTACTTGACTGAAAGTATTTTTACCAAACTAAAATTAGTTTTACTAATTAAAACTTATTTTTACTAATTCTCTAATATTTTTTTAAATAAATTAAATAACAATGCATTTTGTATGCGGCTAGCCACACCATCTAGCCGGACAAAGTAACCCTATAAAACTGACCGAGTAACTCCTGTAATACTAGCTGAGTAACCTCTAACACTGACTAAGTAACCCCTACCTATAACACTGATTGAGTAACTAATATAACACTGACCAAGTAACCCCTATATCACTAACGAAGTAACTCTTGTAATAGTTGGTGACACGGTTTTGCCAGCTACTTATAAAAGTTTGTGATTAAATATATTATAAATGGACCTTATTTTAAAGTACATTTTTAGAAGAATTTGATGATGGAAATAGAATTGAGTTATAAAATATTTATTAATAGTTAGGAATAATTTTGTATATATGAAATATTAGAATTTTATCGATAATAAAACTCTATATTTTATCTTAAAAAATCTATCAAAAAATCGCTTACTTAGCATCATATGTGTCACAATAATACCTATTTATCTCCTACGTGGTGCGACACTTGGCGAAAAACTGAAATGCCAAGGGTCGTTGTCTCGTGACCTACCTGCGAGACCGACTTTATTTATTAGTGATATATAATATGATATGATATGATATGATATTAGATTGTACCTCTCTAAAACGAAATGAATAAAAACAGGTTATTATCAAGGACCTCTGGTAATGGCACCACCACAATATCAATATGCTGCTCCACCGCCTCCGCCAAGGAGTCAACCTAGTTTCCTTGAGGGCTGGTAACTACCGTAACTTCTCTATATGCAACAATTGTATATGATTTTATTTTTGACTAAATCTTACCAAATTTAACTTGTTTTCGTTATTTTTTGTCATTGATGTTTTTGGAAATTTTGGTTATGATATATATAATCCATCGAGATCATACTCTTTTTTTTTTTTTTAATTTATTGAATTTTGAAACTATTTTTAAATTTTATTTTAATTGTAATTCTTTAAAATATTACTGATTTATATACTTAGGCTTGAAGTATGGATGCGACATAAGTCTCCTCATATCCTACTACAAATACTTCACTTGAATTTGAACCCGTGTCTTTTGTGTCACGCTAATTCTTAATACCATATTAAAGGACTAACTTAACTAAAAGGTTAAGCTGATGGTTGAAGGCCTTGAAGCCCAGCATCAACTTATATACTCTACAAAAAAAAAAAAAAAAATACATAATTCAATTGGGTTTGGTGGTTGATGAATGCTAATTAATTTTAAGTGATGTTGCAGTTTGGCTGCTCTGTGTTGCTGCTGCTTAATTGATGAATGTTGTTGCGACCCATCTATCCTCTTTATATGTTGATATTGGAATAAGGTGCCTCCCTCTTTTCTCTTGTATCTAAAGGGAATTTGCTACTACTTGGTAGCAAAGGCTTAATTGTTTTCATTGTCTATAATTAGTAGTTAATGTGTAGAATTTGAAGGTTAGATCGTTGGCTTTGGTGAGATGTACATGTAATTTTGAATTTCTAAACTTTGTACGCTTCTATCTTTTTTTTTTTTTCCTTTTTTTTTTGAAGGGTGCACGCTTCTATTTATTATAGTGAACTTGGAGTAATTAAAGTATGCATTGTCTTTCCTCAAATTATAATGGCGTACTTTACATACAGTATTAACAATTTACTTATGTTATCACTACTATGTTAAAATCAATAATAATAATACCTTAATACTAAAACAGACACCGAGAATGACACGTGTCACATCCTGGTGTTGTTTACTCCCTTCAAAACCCCTCTTCCTTTTTTAACCATTTTTTTTGTTAATATTTGATTCTATGATAATATTATTCCAAATCTTTTATATTATCTTTATGACAAATATATTCCTTTTTATTTGGTGTTCATAATTTTTCTATGCTCATCTACCTAAATAATTATACCAACTCCTTTTTAATCATTTTTTAAACGAGGCCTTTTTTTTAATTTTGCCAAAAAAGTAATAATAAATTTGATTCATATAATTGATGTTAGAGAAATCAATAACTTAATACTAAAACATACACCGGGAGTGACACGAGTCACATCTTGGTGCCGTTTTTCCCCAACAAAACTCTCCTTTCCTTTTTGACCTTTTTTTTTGTTAATATTTGATTCTATAATAATATCATTCTAAATCTTTTATATTATATCTTTATGACAAATATATTCCTTTTTACCTGGTGTTCATAATTATTCAATACACATTTACCTAAATAATTATTCCAACTCGTTTTTAATTATCTTTTAAATGAAGTATTATTAGTTTTTGCCAAAAAAAAAAGTAATAATAAATTGATTCATATAATAGATGTTAAAGAAATTACTTTAAAACATCACTTAAATTTTTTATTTTCAAACATCTCTAGCTAATATTATATTTCAATTTCAATATAACTATATGTATTCAAATTAATTACAATTTTTCCTCAAAAATTAATTACAATTTTGTTTCTAAAATTTTACTACTCTATACTACGTATATATTATCACAAATTAGGGATTTATAGAGTATAGTATAACAAAAAAATAAGTGTTGTGTTTGACAATTATATCATATGTCTAATTCTAGGGAAAGGTAAAATAACAATTAATTTTTTTGTAAATTACGTAATTGAAAATATCAATTAGTAAAAGAAAAAATATATAATTATTATCTTTTGCCGAGACACTTAACTGAGATGATAAATTTATTACGTCCGACATTCATAAATAATCAGCATACTAAAAGACACGCCAGATGTAGTGACAATAATTGACATCTCCTTTTGTATTTTTTTTTTTTGATATACATCTATTATCTACAATTAAACTTTCAAGACAATAAACAAAAAATATTAAGCTACAATTATTGAATAGCTTCAAACACAATTTTTTATACAACAAAGAATGACGATATCGTATATGCAGAGCATCAATCTATAAACAGAAAATGTAATGTGTGTGTGTACTTTTGCTAATAGTTTTAGTGGAGATTTTAGTTTATTGTTTGATTAATTTTTAATGTTTATTAAAAAGGCTTTTGTAAATAAGTAAATACTAATATAGCCACTGGACCTGATCAGACCAAGCCCCTCGCTTGGAAAAAAATTCGGGTTTGGGCAGCCCTCATTTTTGTTTTGCCTATTAATATAGATTATGACATTATAATTTTTATATATTTGATGTGTATGTTTTATTATAATTAATTTTCTTAAAAAAATTAGACTAACCGTGCATGGCACGGACCTTAAGCTAGAGTTTAGATATCATTGACACCTTTGCTAAAGTGGGCTTGTTCTGGCTTATGAAATTTTCACTTATGTCCTTATTAATTCATAGTTTTAGGGGTTTTACGCTAAAAAAGAGATGAAATATTGAAATAAGATTCAAGATACCAAAACTTAAATTATTACCAGTAAATGAATTTTTCTAATATTTAAAATTATATTTTCAATGAAGTTTGTCTTCTTATTTCAATTATGTTCAATTAAAAATTCCATTACGCATCAAAATATTACTTCATAGTTTATACAAATAGAAAATGTCAGCAAAATCTGTTTTCACTCACTGACTCACTATTTGGATAATTAATTTATTGAATATTCAGCAATATTGATAGTATTTTTCATATATTTTAGAAGTCAAGAAAGTGATTGAAAAGAACTTTTAGCTGAAAAGAATTTGGATAAGTTGCAATTCAAACTTCACTAAAGCTTCTTAATATATTGGACTATTGGAGGGTCCAATTTATATTAATTGATACTTTTCCGATTTTTCGGAAAATGGCAGGGGTACACTATTTTTTTATACACCACCGGTAAAAATTTGCTATGTCAACATACCCCACTAAGCAAAAAAGGGAAACTAAAATAATAAGAGGGAAATCTAGGCAGCAATTTTTTTTGGCATTTAGTGGGTGAAGATGGCTTGAGCGGATAATTCTTGGGGCGTCAAGTTGAGCGGGAAAATGGGTGATGGTCTATATGGACATCCTCCATTTTCTATCCATAATAATAAAAAAAAAAAAAACAGAAGAGAAGTTCAACTTCAATTTCGTTACTGAACTTCGGAATTCCTTAGTCAAATTTGATGTGTAGAGAGGAATTGGAGGAGGAGATTAGAGGCGCTTGAACTCCGGTATCGCAGAGAAAAATTCATCTGACTGAATCTAGTAAGCTTCCTTATTCAACAGTTTGTTGTAATTTCGATTTCATTATCCTAGGGTTTCCATTTTTTCCCTAATTTCATCAAATAAGTTAACAATTTTTCGATTATTTGGGAATTATTTTTTAGCAGAATTGGTTGTTTACTAGATTTTTCAATTGAAGAATTGGTGAGTTGGACCCTCTAATTATGTTGAGTGCTATTTTAGTTTACTTTTATTGTAATATTGTTGGTGAATACGAATCTGATTAGAGACTCTAGCTCTGGTAATGTGCACCTTGAGACTGTTGGTTTTTTGGACTTTTTGAATTTTGATTGGAAAACGGAAATTTAGAGTTTTTGAATTTTGATTGATTGGGGTTATTGGTGTTAGTTTGCATATTGGTTGAAGGTGTTATGTTTTTTATCTGAATTGTGAATTTCTTGTTGAATTTTTCGAGTTTTGTTTTGGTGTTGATGGCTCTAAATGTAGGCATTTGTGTTAAATTAGGTTGAATAAAAGCCTTTCTGGAAGCTGAATGTAGACGCAGGGGTTATAGGTGGTGTGGGTTCGGGTTTGGGTGCTGTTCTTAGGGACGAAGTGGGGGTGGTCAGGTGCTGCGGTGTTTCTCAGGGCCCTGAAACTTGGGATCCCAAAACAGTAGAGGCAAAGGTGATCTTTTGGGGGATGAAGATGGCGGTGGAAGGTGTTAGGTTGCAAGTCTGAGTTATTGTCCCACTTGGAAAAATTAAATTAAGAACCGCTAGTTTATAACCTAAGTGAACTACTCCTTCTATTGCCATATGGTTTTAAAATGGAACCTCACTTGCGCTTATGTGTGAGTTTTTCTCTCCTCCTTGCCTCTCCCCCATTTCCTAACAATGGTATCAAAGCCGATGGTTCGGCTGGGCCTCTCGCACCCGTTTCTTAGACGCCTTTGTGTAGGGTCTGTGTGGCCAAGACCTGTTTACCAGCAATCTCCTCAGAGGTTCTTGTCTACACCCCACTTTCCTCCATACAAGCTTCTCACTAGGAGTGCTTTGAGGGTTTGGGTGCATGGTTTCCGGTCAAGGGGGAGTATTCTGAACTCACACTTGAGGGGGAGATTGTTAGGTTGCAAGTGTGAATTGTTGTCCCACATGGAAAATTGAATAAAGAACCACTAGTTTATAACATAAGTGAGCTACTCCTTCTATTGTCATATGGTTTGGAATGAAACCTCACTTGGGCTTATGTGTGGACTTTTCTCTCCTCCTTGTCTCTTCCCCATTTCCTAACAGAAGGCATTGTTAGTCTTGTGGTGGAAAGTGACTGTTTGAGCGTCATCAAAGCTCTGCGTGCTCAGTCTATTGGTTTTAGCTCCTTTCATTATTGGTTTTAGCTCCTTTCATTTAATTTTGGATGATATTTTAGAGTTTTCAAGAATGAGGGTCTTGCAAGTAACTTTCTCATGCTATTTGTTCTTGAGTAGGTTGATATATTTGATGTCTAGTGCTTGTTTCATTTTGTCCATATGTCAATAATAGTTTAACTGGGAACTATTGGCAGGAATTGAAATGTATGTATTCACGAGTGCTAGCACAACACCCACATAAATGTCTAAAATTAGAGTTTGGAGGACTGAACTATTGCAGTCTGCAGATTAGTGCTAGCATGACACCCACATAAATGTCTAACATTAGAGTTTGCTGGACATAACTATTGTAGTCTGCAGATTTGTATAAGTATCCTACGGCTCTTTCTTATTACTACATATTATTGCAAAGGTTTAATCTTTTGATGTATGTTGCCCTCCTTGGACATCTGAGAAGGTATACTACCTTACGTAGTAGGACGCGAGGCAAGGCTTATCTGCTCGGGATAGACAACTTTTTACCCTTGCGCCCTGTGAAAAGGTTGGTGCCCGGAAAAATACAAGCGTATAAACGCGTTGCTTCGGGGTGAGTAAAAGGTCCAACTAGCTGTAACCAGAGGAATTGCAAAATTAGCTCTCGGTTACCGGACTGAAGTTGTAAAACCTAGCTCTAAACACCAAAGCCCCAAAAGCGCCCTTGCGAGCCTTAGCGATTTAGGGCAGGGCTCGTTTCGGGGAGATACTACAGATGAAGAAGGGGAGACCTGACTTTCACACGCATGAAAGCGAACTACGCGACGGGAGTAACCAAATATAGCAGTGGGCAGTCCCTTATTTTCCTTAAAAAACAGGAAAAAAGGGACAGTTCGATACAATTTCTCGCGCGACAAGGCAACTGAGAAAACCGAATTCGCCCCAACCTCGAATTCGGATTTTCGAAGGACGCGACCCCCAACCTACGGGGGGAGCACAACCATAGCGGAGTAACGAAGCTACAACTTGTGAGAAACTTGTTTCGAACGCCGGCTGCTATACCCTTAGAGCAGAGTGAAGCAGAAATGCCCTCACCCGGGGGGCTACAGGGATATTATCAATTCTAACGGCATTCTCGTACATTCACAGTTTTTGAAGCTATAAATTCAATGAATTCAGAAAAGCTGTTTAGCAAATCCTTGAAGAAGAGGAGACTTTCCTTATCGAAGGAGGTAGGAAAGGTACGCCCTAATCCCATTTCTAGTAGGAAATGGTGATAGAAGTTGATGCAGGGCTGTTGACAAATTTAAGCTGACTCTTTAGAGATAGCTCTTTCCCTTGCATACTTTACCGAACAATATGCTTAAACCATACTGACTCTTGCTCAAAGTAGTTGGTGATGCATCAGTTGAGTAAAGATCAACATGCGAGGGTACTTCTTTTAATGAGAACCTTGTGTAATTTTTTTTTTTTTGTAGGCTTGATTTAGTCAATTGAAAATTCATTCCCCTGTCAAATTTTTTATGTACTGTAGGTTTGATTGCCTAGATACGATTTCGTCGCCAAATGTGACTCCCATCAATAGTTCAGTTGGGAATTGGAACATCATTCATTGCATCTAATGTTGGAACATCGTCCATATCTAGCTCGGATCCAGGGACATCGTCGTATTTCCTTTCAAGAACAATTGAGGACCAAAGGAAAGCACTTGTATTTGTTGCTAGTGAAACTTATAAACTAGATGATTTTGATACAGACAATGAATCAATGAGCTCAGCAAGTTGTCAGCCGTGGATATAATAATTTTCTAAGGAAATTATTACAAAGAAACTTTGTCCACAATATTTGCCTTTCTCTTATTAATATGCAATTAGAAATATGTAAAACCATAATTTCCTTTAAAAAGTTTGTAATCTTGGTGAAATTTCTTAAGAATATAATCTTGTAGATTGACAAAAATTGTTTACACAATATCTTATAGAAAGTAATTTAATTACATTGATGACTACTCTTCTTATTCAAAATAAATATAATAATGATGTTTCCTTAATAAAAAACAATAAATATAATGATGTCTAACATAATATTATATTCTTTTTTATGTATTACTCCCTATTAAATTATAGAAAAATCTAATGAATGAATTCATCTACATAAACTAGTTTAATTGCTAAGTTCGTAGTTAAAAGGTATAAAAACGAAATAATTTTAGGGAAATATTGTCAAATACTACCTACTGAATATGACATTTTGTCAACAAGTACTCACTTAAAATTTTTGTCAAAAAAAATAACCCCTTAAATTAAAAAACTTTTAGTATTACTCATTTGTGAATTTTGGCAAGAGTATCCAGTGAGTGAGATTCATTTTTAAAATTTTTTTTTACTCTAAAATAGATTCTAACCCTCATATATATATATATATATATATATAGGGGAGGGATCCGGTAAGAACCCCTCCTTATATAAGAACCTAGTATATATAAGAACCAATCTAATCCGTAGGATTAGATTGTAATAGACGCTCCAGATTAAAGGAATGTTAGTAATGACATTATAGTAAATATGAAAACAGACCACCACCATATATAAACCCCAAATTTTCTCTCTCCTCAACCATAACCCACACTTTATAAAGTTTCTACTTACTACCTCACTCTCTCTCCTAAAACCCCCAAATTCTCTCCAAAAATCACGAAATTCTGATTTGATTTTTGTGATTTTTCTGATTTTAGCATGATTTCAAGTCGATTTTTTATTTTTCTCATTTGATTTTCATTAATTTTCGGCGATTTTAGTGTTCAAATTTCAGTGATTTTAGGGCTGGAATTTTCAGCGGAGTTAGGGTTCGAATTTTAGCAATTTTAGTGTTCGAATTTCAGCGATATTAGGTAATTTCAGCACTACTTGATTATTTCTTGTTTGTTTTTTTTTTGCTGTGATTCTTTTTGGTTTTTTTGGCTTCATTTTAGTAGTATTTCGATTATATTGCTACCTCTGTATTCAATCTTTTATTGAATAGTCTATGTTTTCAGTTTTTTTGATGACTTATTGTATGTCTATTATGTTTTGCAACTAATTATGTAATTTCGGAATTTCTAAATGAATTAATTGACTTTTGTGAATTGTAAATTAGCTTAGGATGTTCTAAACTCTATCTCATAATGTTCTAAACTCTTTTTCATTATGTTCTAAGTTAGTGATACCTCTTATTGCGTTCTTAATTGTTAGTGATATCATTGGTTGGTTGGCCTTTAGATGGATGAATTAGTGCTTTCGTTAGATTGATTGATTGACATATATTATCTTTGAGGGAAAACTTGGGGACTGAGGAGAAAGAGAGAGGGAAGGAGGGGTGGGAGGATTATGCTGGCTAGCTGGGCATTATTAATGAGTTCAAAGGCTTAAAATAGGTGGATGAACTTATAGTCTTATACCATGCTTATGAGTTATGAATTTATGATGTTGCAAACTTAACTGTCTCAAGATGAATTGTAGATGCCTGGCAAGTTAGGATGGTTTTGTATACATGATGGGGGCAATTTAACTTGATACAATGTGGCCATATCAATGCCAATGTAGCTTTCTAGTATGATAATTATCGATTTTAAAGTAGAAGTAGCTGCTGTCAAAATTAGTGGAGTATTGGGTGGGGCCCCTTTGGTTTGAGAAATTGTAAAATGTGAAGGGAGGAACACAGGCAAAGGTTTAGAACATAGGAAAAATAGTTTAATTTAGAACATGAGAGAAAATTTTAGAACATAGGCAAAAAAATTTAGAACATAAAAAAAGGTTTAGAACATAAGAAAGATAGTTTCGAACATGAGAGAAAATTTTAGAACATAGGCAAAAAAAAATTAGAACATAAGAAAGGGTTTAGAACGAACATAGGTAAAATAATTTAGAATATGAGAGAAAAATTTAGAACATAGGCAAAAAAATTTAGAACATAAGAAAAGGTTTAGAACATAGAAAGATAGTTTAGAGCATGAGAGAAAATTTCACAAGAAAAATTTTAGAACATAAGAAAAGGTTTAGAACATAGAAAGATACTTTAGAACACAAGAAAAAAATTAGAACATAGGGTAAATAATTTAGAACATTAGAAAACTAATTTAGAACATAAGGAGATTACTTTTACTGATTTAGAACATAGGCAGAAAACTTTACTGCTAGTGAGGGATGTGGATTGGAGATGCGGTGTAGGATAAGAGAGGGAGTGGTGAAGGTTAAGTGGCTGAGCAGCAGGGTAGAACATAGGTAAAAGAGTGGTGAAGGAGCAAATGTTTTGAACATAGGAAAAAATTTAAAGCACATGTTTAGAACATAGGTAAAACAAAATTTTAGAACACAGGCTTTAAAAAATTTAAAACATAGAAAAAAAATTAGAGTACAGGTTTAGATTATAGGAAAAAATTTAAAGCACATGTTTTAAATACAGGAAAACATTTAGAACATAGACAATAAATTAATTTAGAACATTGAAAATTTAGAGCACTAGTTTAGAACATAGGCAGTAGGAAATTTAGAACATAGGAAAAATAATTAGATCATAGACAAAAGAATTTAGAACATAGGAAAAAAAACTTTAGAACATAGGTAGAAAAAATTTAGAAAAAAAAAAAAAAAAACTTTAGAACATAAATAGACTAAATTTAGAACATAGGAAAAAAAAACTTTAGAACATAAATGGACTAAATTTAGAACATAGGATTAGCCAAAAAAAAAAAAAATTAGAACATACTTCGTATATGATTATACGAATCTATTTTATATTCTCAGTCATGGTTATTGTATCTAGCAATTTTTAGTTAACTTTACTACTTATAAATCATAAAAATCATTGATAGAAACATGAAAGACAACAAGGTCAAGGAAATTTAGAAAATTCTGAAAAATATCAGCAAAAAATAACAATTTATTATTATTACTAAAGAAGAAAAAGGCAATTTAGAACATAGGAAAACTCTCAAAACATAGATTTAGAACATTAGGGAATTTTTTTTTTTAGAAAATATTCTGAACATTTTTTAGAAAATTGAAAAAAAGCTTAGAACATAGGGTTGAATTACAGTACATTATTTAATCGTTGGGCATGCTAAAACCTATTAGCTCAAGTGGTAGAGCACTATGCAAATGCATAGAGATGTAGGTTCGATTCCTACATAGGTTATCAGCGTCATGCGATAATTCCACCGAAAGTTAAAATTTTTGGTTGGCGCGTTCTTCACAATGGGGTGCCTGTTCGGAGCTATTTAGCTAAACGGGGTATATGTAGTGATGATATTTGTCAAGTTTGTGGTGATGCTCTTGATTCTCTTATGTTAGACATGGTCTTACAATTGTTGTTGAGGCAGGCTTGTAGAATATTGAACTTGAAACTGATTTGCTGAAGCTGTACTCCCACCTGCAGAACAACATCAGAGAAATTTCGCCCTTTGGTCTGAATGTGAACGATATTTTGTGCATTGCTAATTCTTGTTCTTCTTTTTCTGTCAGCCATGTAGGGAGGGAAGGGAATAGGGTGGCACATAAGCTTGCCCAATCTAGTAATGAGTTTGATTGTACGAGAGTCTGGATTCAGGAGCTCCCTGCGATTTTCCTCTGTCAAACTGGTGTAATTTACTTGATAATACTTCCTAGTAGTAGTTGTGTTGGGTAATTTGTTAGCATGTGTTGGGTAATTTGTGAGCTATGGTGGTTGTTGTAGTAATAATGGAGGCATTTGAGTTTCTACATGTGATTGTTTTCCTCTACTTCTATGGGAGGGCGTTGATCTATATCAAAAACCTATTAGCTCAAGTGGTAGAGCACTATGCAAATGCATAGATGATGTAGGTTCGAATCCTACATAGGCTATATTTATAAATAACTATATTAAAAAAAACTTTAGAACATAGGTAGTAAAAATTTAGAACATAGGAAAAAAAAACATTAGAACATAAGTAGACTGAATTTAGAATATAGGTAGTAAAAATTTAGAACATAGGAAAAAAAAACATTAGAACATAAGTAGACTGAATTAGGCAAAAGAATTTATAATATAGATAGAAAAAATTTGAACATAGGAAAAAAAAACTTTAGAACATAGGCAAAAGAATTTAGAACATAGGTAAACGAATATTTAGAACATAGGAAAAAAAAACTCTAGAACATAAGTAGAAAAAATTAGAACATAGGTTGAAAAAGTTTAGAATATAGGAAAAAAAAACTTTAGAACATAAGTAGACTAAATTTAGAACATAGGAAAAAAAAATTTAGAACATAGGTAAAAGAATATTTAGAACATTAAAAAAAAAACTTTAAAACATAGGTAGTAAAAATTTAGAACATAGGGAAAAAAAAAACTTTAGAACATAAGGGATCATAAGAGTCTTAGAAGTGGTTGAGGAAATATAAGTTGACTTTGATAGAAGAAATTGGATTTAAATACATTGAGAAAAGAGAATGGAGGAAATAGATCATGGATGATGATCAGTACTTCAGTAAAATGAAATCTCGGTTCATGTAGCTGACTCGTTTTTTTTCCTTATGTTCTAAATTTTTTCCTATGTTTTAAATTTGTTTTTCCTATGTTCTAAATTTTTTATTTATGTTCTAAAGTTTTCCTATGTTTTAAAATTTTTTTCTGCTTATGTTCTAAATTTTTTGCTATGTTCTAAATCTTCTCATGTGTTCTAAAATTTTAAGCTTATTTTCTAAATTTTTTCAGCTTATGTTCTAAATTTTCTTTTTTTCTGCTTATGTTCTAAATTTTTTGTTTTTGCTTATGTTTAAAATTTTCTTTTTCTGCTTATGTTCTAAATTAAATATTTTTCCTATGTTCTATATTTTTTTCAAGCTTATGTTCTAAAGTTTTTCCTATATTCTAAATGTTTTTCCTTTGTTCTAAACTTTTTTTTTGCTTATGTTCTAAAGTTTTTCCATGTTCTA